CAAGTTTGCAAATGGATTAAAACTATCAAAATGCACTTTTTTTTTAACCATTTAAACTAAATTCTTACACATTTCATGTTCGGGTCAGTTTTGACCCGGAAGTGCTCTGTAGCTTTATACATGAAATACAGATTTTTGTGTGTGCGTGTATTACACCTATTAGTTAGATTTGTCTAAAATTACTCATATAAAATGCATTTAGCCTCTTTCTCTTCTCTCACACACACTTTTAGGAATGAATTTTGTTGGTAAATCTAAATATGCACCAAAGAGACACTATAAACAGACAAAATATGTAACCGATATAACAAACTACATCTAACAAACTGCAGCTCAAAGGGTGCATGGCAGAAAAAATAAATAAAATAAAAATAGGACTGTTTTGGTGCAAAAAACATTATGCTATAAGGGAAAATGCATGACATGATCCCTTAGTTTTCACGTGCTCTTACCGAATCATGTACACCTCGTTGTTCCACGGATAGACGTTGAGCACAGGGCCGATGCCGATCATGTGGTTGCGATGCTCACTCAGGTTCTCCACATACTCGTGTTTGATCGGCACGTGTGAAAGCAGCTCAAAGTTCTCGGGCGTTCGCTGGAGCACCGCATCGGCGGCGTGGAAACCGTCCACCAGCAGAGTTCTGCCCCCCGTTCCTTCATGTCTCAGACAGTGAAACACCTGGATGCTTACGGAGCAAAACAAGATATTAAAAGCAGCACCATATTCACCATTAAATAATAATAAAAATAATAATTTGTTTTATTTACGGGCACCTTTCAAGACACTCAAGGACACCTTGCAAAAATCAAATACATAAACAATAAATGACAAAGAAACAATGCACAATAGTACACAAAACTAGATCAATCCTAATTAACAGCATTATTAAGCAAATTACACTTATTTAATGTTTTATTTTCAAATAAATAAAAAAAAATCATTTTTGCTATGGCACTGAAATTGGTGGTATTGGCACCGATTACTGAAACTTTGGTAACGTGACAACACCAACGGGCATTAAGCAAATGTTTGGTGATGTGGCTTTCTTCTGGAGAAATGGCATGGACTTTATGCTTTGTATCTTTGCACATCATTTACATGCACAAAATATTACACTTAACTTTAGTGACTAAAGGAAAGAAATTAAAAAAAAAAAAAAAACCGTAATAGGGGCCCCATAAAGAGTTCTTCTAAGGCAGGAAAAGAATGGACACTGCTGGACAAATTATCCAGCGGTAGCTCATTAGTCACTGGCAGTGCAAAAAGAAGTCCTGTGTCTGAGTTCTTGACTTACAAAAGGCACCCGGCGACCAACACTGATTTGAGAATCAATGACTTTTTCCTTGTTGTACATTTAAGTAGCAGTGGCACTTTGAAAAGCAGTAGTGAAGTCTCTGTTGTAATTTACTCAACCTCATGTCATGCCAAAACCTGTATGACTATATTTCTTCTGTGGACTGCAGCGCTACTGAAGTGGTTTTTCAACATGTCCCAGCTATGTCAGAATTAGGTCTTGTACATTGTGTTCTGGTTAGGCTTGGTTTTGTTCCCGTGCCATGTGTTCCCTGACCTAGTTTCCTAGTGTGTGATAGTTTGCTCCCTTAATTACAGATGTTGTTCACCTGCTGTTTTATTACTCATTAGTTCTCACTGTTACTGAAGCCCTGTGTTTCCTCAATTCCTTTGTCCAGTATCCACCTTTTTCTTCAACAAGTTCCCAAGTTTGCCTGTGTGGATTATAACAAAACTCTTCTAGTTTTTATCTCATTCATCATGTGCTTCTCTACAACCAACAACACGTTACAAAATGCTAATTTCTATACAATGCATGTGAATTGGGACAGGGGCAGTCAAGCTCCATATGTAATAAAACCAGCATATTTGGCTTGTGTACAACATTCTTAGTTGTTTGCGATTTTTACAAAAGTAAAAAAAATTTGGATGACATGAAGCTGAGAAAATGATGACAAACAATCTATAACATTAAGCTATCAAAACAAGTTTGAATGATTTAATTGACTTATTTCAGGAGGCGTTACACACTAGCCCTGACCTGATGAGGCTCACTCTTTGGGTCGCTGTTTCAGTAGCGTCTAGGGTTGGTGGGACGCCTTCGACGAAGGCAATTCCGTAAAGCAGGAAGTTGTTGAGGAAGTTCTTCAGCTCTTCGTCGCAGCTCATGAATTTGTCCCAACTGGCAGAGGGCACCTTAGCGCTGGAGTAGATATCTGCGCTCCACAAGATACGAGGTTGCACGGCACTTCGCTTCTGGCCCTCGTAGCTGTTCTGGGCCAGCCATGTGAGATTGTACCGAGTGATGTGACCATCTGGCCCTGGAGGGGATCACAAACACCATGGAAATGGCTTCATTAGGAGATAACTATGATCAAGATTTTCATCAGTTTTATCAGTGGACGATATTACTGGTTCAGTGATGAGTCCATCAGGGTATCTGCAGTACAAGCTCAATCAACAAAAATGCATTAATTAAAAAAATAATAATTCTGGGATACAGTGAGGCACTTACAGTAGAAATGAATGGGGACAATATGTAATCAGTTTCTATAGTGTAGCCAACACCATAAATGTGAGAAGAAAATTGCTTACTAACTTTTTCGGTGTAAAGTTACATCCAATTTTACAACTTCATTGCCACTGCAACACAAGACTATAAACCCGAAACCCTAAAGCAGCGAAAAATGCTGATTTAAAC